ACCCTAAGATCTCTGGGTCTGGGGCTTCCATGTAGGATGCTTGCCTGGATTTGGGGAGTATCTGAAACCCCAAACCAATGGGTCTGAGAGGAAGGATACTTGCCCAGTGGTACAGCTACATAGACCTGGTGACTGAGCTCTGCTCAGGAAAATTTTGAAACTTGACTACTGAACTTTGCCCAATTGAATCTGGAACTGATTCAGCCTTTGAAATGAAATATATATGTGAAAAAAACTTCCCTGACACCATGAACATGCCATCTCAAGAGAAGCCTGCCTTTCCCTTACACCTATCTTTTGCACTGTAATACACAGCAACACTTCAGCAAAGTTGATGGCCAAGCAAGCAGCAGGACATGGTGGCTGTATCCAAGCAGCTCCTCTACCTGAATGGCTTCTTAGCTTTGAATAGGACAGAAGAAGGGAAGCAACTCCCTACAACTGCTTGGTCAATGGTCTTAGCTGGCAAACAGCACAGTGAGCAACAGCCAAAGGATGGCAGTATGCACTCCATCTGCACTTGACAGTCTCCATCCTACCTTTCTATGCAACTATCTAGTTTCTACTGACTTGGTGTGTATTTAAGAGTTAAACCTGATCCTTAACTGGGCTCTGATTATACATTCGCTTCATGATTTGTCGGGACGGGGGATTTGAAAGATATGCAGAAAGAAGTCAGCAGAGCTAAATCAAATATTATTTCTACTGCAGTGTGCACACACAATGTACTTTATAAACACAATCACCATGCTTCTTGCATGCATGGGGTGCAGTGCAATTATACCTGATACACGGCAGGGCCTGCAGTACCACTGCAATCAGCATCAATCACTAGCCCATGAGGCTTAAGGTACTGATCCTGCAGACTCTTCCTACTAAAGGTTTAAATTGCAGCCATCACTCAGTTGAAGGAAGCTCCTCTGTTTCATCAATTGGTCAGGGGAACAAAGTCCATTAAGGTTGGAGAAGTACAATGGAGGTCCAGCTAGTGGAAAGAACTGAATTATAAAGGATTTGAAACAGAAGTAAGGTGGTCCAGCAGCGAGGGCTTGGGAGCAACCTAAGAGGAAGCACAGAGGTGCTAGGGGCTCCTAAACAGCAGGGAAAGTTATGCACAAGAGTAGAAAATGCTACTAGAGTGTGAAACTAGGCTCTAGAGCAGGGGTCAGCAACCCCTGGCACATGTGCCAAATGTGGCACGCAAGGCCATTTTGCTTGGCACGCTGTGCCCAGCCCCAGCTCTGGGTAGCTGCTGCCAGTGACAGAGCCCGGGCTGCTCCCAGTAGAGCTTGCAGCATCCCAGCTACCTGCTGGGAGCAGCCCAGGATCCTGGCAGGCAGCAGCTCCCCAGAGCCGGGGCCAACTGCAGCCAGGAGGGTCCAAACAGCTGTGCTGGGCTCCAGCATCAGCTCCGCACCAGCCGCTGCAGGCGTGCTTCGGAGCGGGCGGTGGGGGAGGGGCCTGAGGCAGTATAGCCCCTGTCTCTCCCTTGCTCCCGGCACGGAGGTGATGAGCCTGGCGCAGCTGTTTGTAGCCACTCCAGGCTCTGGGCAGCTGCAGCGAGCAGCAGATAGGCTGCAAACGGCTGCGCCGGGCTGCACAGCTCTGGCATCAGCTCTGTGCTGGCGGCGACTGCGTGTGCACCTTGGGTTGGGGGGCAAGGGGCACAAGCAGGGCATCCTGCCATGTACCCCTTGCCCTCATCTTGTTTTTCTGCCATGCAGGCACTCCCGCACCTTCCGAGGTAGGCATTGTGGTGTTTTTCAGCCCTCCAGCCAAAAAACGTTGCCTACCCCTGCTCTAGAGCCTTGAGATCTCGATAGAAATAACCAGGAATAGGATGAAGAGACAGCACCATTCTTAGACCCAATAAGTGCGCATTGCTTCCAGACAAGAGCAAGACCTACCTGAAAATACAGCCTTGTGCTTTCTACATTCCTCCCCAGTGGCCGATTCCATGTCAGCCACTTCACAATGCTTACATTATGGGTAGAGATTTAACACTGACTAGGGTATTTAGTTACACAACTCCTGTCAAAGCTAGTAACTAGATCTCCTAGCAAATCTCAACCAGACAAACTGCACATGAATCTAGGTTAGTGGCAAATAAATTAGACTACAGGTCAAAGGGCCATGTTAGCAGGTGCTTGGGAAAAATGCTTCTCAGATCCAGCATTTCTAGACTTACTAGCAGGAGACAAATATTCAAACAAACGTGGCATACAGCACTTCCCCATTTTCAACCAGACAAGAGGGCACAAGAAGGTAAGAGAAAGCTGGCATCAGGCTGACCGGCATGAGTTACCTCCAAGGCCTGCCTATCTTCCCTCTAGAGGAACTTTGGAATTATGATTTAAAGCTGCAGGTAGAGGGCAAATAATCTTACTGCCTTTTCTAAAGTGGGTAAAGCGCCTTTTCCCTAATTCCACAGATGGGTAAACTGTGGCACAGAAAGACAGAGCAACTTGAGGCCAGAAAAAGCAGTGACTGCTAGAGACGGAAGCAGCCCTTGCTCTGACACTAAACAGATCTGCTGCTGAATCCAACTCGTCTTATGATAGCAGTAAGTGCTATATAAACTGTAGGTCTAGGGTAGCATGGATAAAAGCTGCTGAA